GAAGATCCGCCCCCCTGAAGTCCTAGACCGCCAGCACCAAATTGAGATGATGCCGCTTGAGCGGACGAACCTCCGGCTTGAAAACTAGGGAAGCCCCCACCTCCTAAGAATGGTGAGCCGCCCGCACCACCGCTAAAACCGGCGCCGAAGTTAAAGGATGCGCTGAAAGCTCCATTAGCTCCGAATCCTACGCCGGGAGCACCAAAACCTGTCTGAGGCACAGCGGCGCTACGAGCTGCTCCAGCTGCTGCGCCACCGCTGTGAGACAGGATTAAAAATCTGTTAGTAATCCAAATGCCCATGGTGTCCGAGACTCTGGTAGTGGTAGGTAAAATAAATGCTATTTTTAAAGGGACGCCAGAAAAACAAAAGAAAAGAACCGCTTATATTGTTTCCCTTATCTGAAGGCTCCGACAGCGCAATCTACATCGGTCGCACTACTTTATTCCAAACTCCACGCGAAAAAAATGCGTTCGCTGTGGCAACTAACGCTTGTCTCTGACAACCAATTCTTAGGTCCCACGGCGAATTTCTTGGCTTTCATACCAAATTAGCCAATCTATTCGCTCTGACAGCTAACCTTTTTTTTCCGTGTGCTCTTTTTTTTTGCGAACTCACCTGGCAGTATTCGGCACGCCGACCACTGGCTCCCTCTTCGTCCGCAAGTGTTTGTCGGGTGTTGGAACGCGGAGACCTAGACAGAGACGACCGTGTTCGTAAATGTACCACCAGACGTGTGCAAATGGCGTTTTGACTTGTACTAACCGCGCAATAGCGATAACAACAAACTAGGCATTAAAACGCCGGAATAACAGAATACGCAAAAACAAGGTTCATATAACGAACAACTCGTACCGCTCGATGGAACGGCCCTTTCTCACCTGGTTCGGCCCCCGCGGGTGGGGCCCCCACCGCGGACGCAACTAGCAAGAGCGCGATAGCAGTTAAGCCTCTCATCGTACTGAGCGGGCACCCCAAGCGGTCGAGCTTTTGTAGCTCCCGCCTCCCCTCCCGGCCCTGTGTGGTATACCCCCGGGTGTGTATAGGCGTGTGTCGTGCAAAAAATGTACCATATTTCCATATTTTTACTCTTTCTTATGGACCATTCTGATTTTAATTTGAAGCTTCTAACTCCTTAGTAAACTGTCTAATGTTCGTTTTCCCGTCGCCGTACGGTGTGGCATCCGATCTTCTTCAGGTGGTCAGGGTTGGCCCCTTATCTAAGTGTGAGCGTGAGCTCCGAGAGTGGACGCTTTGGTCCGCCGGAGCCTAAAGGTACACTAGCCCGTCGAAAGACGTTACTGTCTCCCGATCTCGACAAGCATAGGGTAGGAGGAGGGGAAGCGGGAGGGGTGCCCGGCACGCAGCCAGCGCACAAGTACAAGTCATTACAGAGATTGTAAAAAGAAGGAACAAAAAAGAACCACTATGACACTATGCTAGCCTATTTTGGCTTGTTCAGAAAGGTGCTTCCGGTTAGCTCTCTTACTTAGACCCATGGCTGCTGTCTGCGCACCTCACCGATTCTAGCTCGGCGACATTTTGTGGTCCCATCTATCGGCGGGCTAGACTACTTTTACGTTTTTGCGAGGCCAAGTTGCAATTTACAAACTGATTTAGGAGCCCTGCGGAAATAACTTACAAGTGAACTGCCCGTAGTATCCCACTCTCTACCTATCTCACTCACTCACTCACTCACTCACTCACTCACTCACTCACTCACTCACTCACTCACTCACTCACTCACTCACTCACTCACTCACTCACTCAC